CCACCCTCATCGCCACTAGGTAGGATCTAACATGTATCCTAACCCGTGTTCGGTCGGGTTCGGTTCGGCTGGCCCTCCAACATCTCTCTAGGCATCTTTTCCGACGTTTCATCTCTCTCAGCTCCTCGGTAAACCAGGGAGCCAATCGAGATCTACGTCGGGTCAGAGGCCGCAAAGGCACGACTCGGTCCAATGCTGCAGCGGCAGTTGTCTCCCAAGCCGCCGCCTGATTTTCCGCCGAGTCGTGGACCAGATCCTCTGGATATGGCCCAAGCTCCATCAGGAACCTCTCAGGGTCCATCAGTCGCCTGGGACGGAACCATCTAGGCGGTTCCGTCTCCCTGCGGAATGCTATGTATCCTGTCGCTATGTCTCCTAATTTTACGGTCTCAATCTTCAAATGTTTCTACATTTACAGTATATTAAATATGCTAAAATTTGGTCATGTTGCTGATTTGTACAGGAAGAGTAGGACCAGGTTCTGCAATAATCCAGCTCTGATTATATGAGCCAAATATTTTTTTTTTTATAAGAGATTGCTTTTTTTTTCAGTGCAACCCTGGTGGTTTGTGTACAAATTTAAGACACTGGCAAAACTTGGTTCTGCTTTTCCTGACAAACCGGCTTATTCAGGCAGAAAAAGGAGTAAGTTCTGACAGCACACTAGCCCAGACCTTGCTGGCAAGGTCTGCCTTTGTGTGATTATTGTCACAGGCAATGACTTGTGCACACAAAGCTAGATCGCTACAAGGAGCATCACTTGGAGGGACACAAGTTCTGTGCCCAAATCTTTGTATTGCTCTACAACAAAGTTGGAGGCTGTGAAATGCAAAAATATTACATAAAATCTAAAGTGAGTCTTCCAATGCAAGTGGTGCCCAAGAAGGAAGAGTGCCCACTGGCTGCAAGGAACCATCACACACAATTCTCTGCCCCTTGTGCAATTTATATTAATTGCTTCCACCAAAGTGATCTTGATGCATTTTATTCCTGTAAGATAGCAAAGTCTTTCATGCACCATTTGTTCCTATGATCATGAACAGGGACGGATCAAGGAAAAGGCAGACTTTTGAGGACTCTGCAGATCAGACTTCCTTACCACCTCTGTTTTTTTTCCCTAAGCAAACCCACCTTCCCATTCATCCTAGAAATACTACACTCCTTCCTATAAGGCAGGCATATCCAACCTGTGGCCCATGGATTGCATGCAGCCCTGAACATCTAGTACATTGAGTTTGTCCTCAACTTACAACAGTTCATTTAGTGACCATTCGAAGTTACAACGGCATGAAAAAAGTGACTTAGAGCCATGGTAGCACAGTGGTTAGAATGCATCATTGCAGGTTAACTCACTGCTGACTGCTAGGAGTTCAATCCTGACCGGCTCAAGGTTGACTCAGCCTTCCATCCTTTCGAGGTCAGTAAAATGAGGACCCAGATAGTTGGGGGGGCAATATGCTGACTCTGTAAACCGCTTAGAGAGGGCTGTAAAGCACTGTGAAGCAGTATATAAATCTAAGTGCTATTGTTATTTTTCACACTTATGACCACTGCAGCATCCCTCTGATCACATGATCAAAATTCAGATGCTTGGCAATAGGTTCATATTTATGATGGTTGCACTATCCCATGGTCATGTGATCACTTTTGTGACCTTCTAACAAGCAAAGTCAATGGGGAAGCCAGATTCACTTAACAACTTTGTTACTAATTTAACAATTGTGGTGATTCACTTAACAACTGTGACAAGAAAGGTCGTAAAATGGGGCAAAACTGACTTAACAAATGTCTCGCTTAACAACAGAAATTTTGGACTCAATTGTGGTTGTAAAAAACGAGATAGATGGCAAATAAATGTAATAAATAAATAAGCAAACAAATGCTATAAGGCTTTATATATATATATATATTCCTATCCTCCTGCTTCCCAATTTCTAATTTTGGAGATGTGCACAGTATTGCACATGCCTTCTACTCTGCTAAAAAGTTACCTTTGCTTTGCAGTACAATGCCAGCACGCCCATATCCAAGGTGTACATTTCTCCAAGTGTGTCAGATTGCACACTTTATATATCTACATTTTGCGAAGTGGAAAAAGATGAAGATACTTCCTTTCTCACCTCATTGACATGTACTAGCCAACCAGTCATTCCTCACAAAAGAGCAGTGCAGCTTTCAACTCCATTGTACTAAACTGGTTGAAGAATGTGCCAACATTCCTTGGCCATCAAGTTTCCACACCCAAAGCAGGAGTTTTGCAAGAACTTGGTCATGCTGGGCCAAATGTTCAGAGACCATCTTTGCATGGGCAAATCTGCCACCAATTGGCAACCCCTCAATCTGCTCAGAGTCCATAGTTTGAGAATAATAGTTTCAACTTGTGCTCAGCCCCAACTATTATAGAGTGTAGGTAACAGGATTTGATTACTTTCTTCTGAAGGAAAAAAATATCCAGTATAATGTTACACTTGGATCCATTCATTGATTACATTAACTGAAACTTTAAGATGCATGTAACCTTAAGATGCACCTTAACGCAGGGGTCCCCAACCCCCAGTCCATGGACCAGTACCAGGCTGCGGCATGCCAGCAACCACTCCGCACAAACAAGGAAAGCCCCATCCACAGGATGCAGGTAGCACACAAAACCACGCCCCCTCCGGTCTGTGGAAAAACCTCTCTCCACGTAACCGGTCCCTGGTGCCCAAAAGGTTGGGGACTTCTGCCTTAAAGAGATGTATGCTGGGATGGAAAAGAAAACATACACTCTACATCTATAGTTTGTAGATAAATAGCACATTCTTCAATAAATGCTTTTCAATAACAATACATTTAAAAATTACCTGCAGGTTTTCACATGTTTCTTGGCTATAAGTAATTCTCTGGATTTCTGTAGGTGAGACAAGATACAACGCCTGCCCATTGTTGGTGAAGCAAAATGTTCTGGCTATCCTCATGTTGGTAAGTGGTAAGTAATATATGTCCAATAGCGGCCTTAAACTTGGCAAACTTGAAAGAAACAGAATTAAAATTTGTTAAAATAAAGCACTTTATCTTATTCTAGTTTCCTTTAATAAAACTTTACAGTATAATACATTTTATGTTCTCATTTTTTTAAATATTCATATAAGTCCAAAGAATTACATATTTATATTTACAGTACATTCATTCTCGCAGATCAGTATGCATATACTCCCAAGTTCCATTTTAATAATTGTACTGGAAATTCTGTTATTTAGTATTGATTATCTAAATAACCAAATACTAAAATCCCAGGGTTTTTTTTGGGGCGGGGGAATTCTGATTACTGCAGAAAACTTCCATGTGATGCTTCTAATTCATAACATACTCCCTTTAATTCCTCCAAGGATGGAATCCCAAAATAAAATGTATTAACAGAAGCTTTAAGGAGAAACAATAGAAGAGCACAAACAACTTGTATCATAAATATCACATAAAATTATTTTATTCTTGCTTGGAAATACAAAGCTCCTCTAACTTATATTAGCAATACTGAAAAATATATTGCAATCTAGTCCCTGCTCCTGAGAGTTCCTACAGAGAGAATTTCTGCTACACATTCTAAAGAAAGTTGTCAGCAGAAGGAATCAATTAGACACCATTCTAATTCGGAAAACTAGAACAAATAAACCAAACATTTATGAAGGACTGACATTAGACATTTAGCAGCTTACAAAATGTATAAATATATTAAATCACAATAAAATATAATTTGAATATGTTTGCAAATATACACTGATATGAAAAAATTTAAGCAGAAGTTCAACAACATAACCCTAATGCTAACTCTGCCATTCTTTCCTAGGTTCTTTTAAAATACATATTACCAGGGCTTTTTTTCTTGGAGAAAAGGTGGCGGAACTCAAACCTGGCCACGCCCTCATCAAACCCTAGGACCGCCCCTTTAGAGAACAGGAATGCAAGTAAAATTTGGGAGGGGCTATTTCCGGTGCGGCCGGCCCGGAAAAAGGTGCCGGAACGCGGTTCCGCCGCGTTCCGGCTGAAAAAAAGCCCTGCATATTACTGCTGAAGTCATAATATCAAAACATCTTCCCCATGAGGAAGAACAACAAAGCTTTTGATAAGCAGCATTATAGAGATGGGTAAAATAATTATTTGGTATATGAAATGTGGAGAAAAATATTTTAGTCTTTCTTTCAGATCTCAGGATAAAGACAAGATATCTCAAATGAATTAAAATAGTTTTTAATGTAATGCATAGTTAAACAATAGCATTTTCTATCCTCCAATGAGTTGATGATCATCAATTTAAAAGCTTTTAAAAGGGTATATAGAAATAAAACAATTATTATTATTATAACCTATTACTTCCTGAATCATAAATAACACTCTTAGTGGGGAACAATGGAAAAGAAACATTATTCCGATGTTTTTGCTTGTGAGTTTCTGGACACATCTAGTTAGCAGATACACAGAATGCTTATTTGGGTGAGCACTGAGCTTTGGGCCAGCAGACACCTTGAGGAATTCTTTTAGGCCTGGGGTCTCAACTAGGTTTTTGCTGAAGCTTTGTCTCACTCTGTACACCATGTGGAAATGCAAAGCAGACAAACAGTTATAAACTCCAATTGCTGAAAAAAATATCTAGATTCTATACTTTGCTTAAAAAGTAGATAAGAAAATGTAACAAAGATGTTTTTACTTAGTTGATAATAATAATAATAACAACTGTATGAGCCTAATACGAGATAGTAGATATTAAGGGAAAAAGAGAGGAAATATCTGATATTGTATCTTGAGATTTATACTAAAGACTTATGTATGTTATTGAACTATTAAAAGTAGATGAGAAAAAGATAAGAAGCCACGTCAAGGCACAATTTTTAAGTTTAATTTTAAGTAGTTCAGACGAAAATCAAAGAACCCTCTCCTCAAAATGAAGACAGCAAAAGGAAAAATACAAAAATATTATGTTGTTTTAAAAAATTCAAACTATATCATCCAAGCAAATGGACTACAATTTGATTATCAAATTAACCAGAATGAAAGACTAAGGCATCTCTTTGTCTGCAGGCACAAGAAAGGGAACCAAAGTAAGATTTTAAGTTTTAAGGCAACATAAAAAAAAATGAATCTGAAGTAAAACAGATTTTAGGAAATCAGTCCCATCTAGGGGACTGATTTAGATATCTATGTAACTATATTAATCGTCCCTTCCTATTTTTATTTCGTATTTTATTTCCAAGGAAACAGATACATTTTCTCCTTTTAGCAGTTATCACCTTACCTAAAAGTCATTATATGTCCATTGGCACAGAAACAAGCAAGACAGTTACTGTTACTGAGTGCCACTATATCTCCGCGAAGGACAAATGAAGTCTCTGTTATATTTTGCTTATAAGTACAGTTCTGTGAGGGCAGTGATATAACTTTTGCTTGCTTTTCGGAGCATATCACTGCATATTGGTTTTCAATCATTTCCTGAGAAGAGGAGGGAGATACTGAGACAGGCCGGCGTTTTTTCAATTTATCCTTTTCATCCTTGTCTTCAGGAACATTGTGTTCTCTCCAGGGTTCCTGTGCGGGTGGAACTAATGTTCCTGTTGTGTCCAGAAAAGCCATTCTTAAGACTGCTCCTTTAAGCCTCAGAATAGTTCCTAAGATGAAGAAAATAGTGATATTTCTCAGTGCTGTGCATAGAGCTGAAGGGTATTTTCTTTATCTAATCAAAGTATGTTTTAGTAGATACTTCATCTGTAAAATGCTCTTATTATTATATATTCCATTCATAATAGACTACATGCATGTCAGACATAACACTTGAAACAGGAACTTTATGAATTGGAAGAATTTAAAATAATTGTTAAACTGCAAATTACCATTACAAATCTGGATAGCTATTCATACATACAAAAATGAATTTCTAATCATTTCACTTCTTGTTAAAGGAAACTATACTTTGATACTGCTCATATACAGTATATGCTTAAAGGTAAATCTGAAAAATGCAATGTAGCATTATTTCTTAGGAGGTTGATGGATTTCCTTGATACAAGCTTGAAAAACAGATTCCCAGTGGCTCTCCAAATCTAAACAGGCTTGAAGTGGCATTTCTCAGTGGCCGTGCTGGGGCTAAAGTACAGTACAGTAGAGGCCTGGGGCAGTGGTAGCTGGCTGAGACGGTTGAAGGCCCTGGGCCTCTATTTCAGCCCTGCCACTGCTGCTGCTGTACACTGCTCTGCAGATCAGCCAAAGGAGCATATGATTAGGGGGAGATAAGTAGCCAGAGGCTTAATAGACCAACAAAGGATTGGTGTCGTGCTGTAGTATTGCAGCTGATGTGTGTGAAATGACAATGAACATTGTCAGTAGTGACAATCTCTCAAGGAGAAGAGACTTCACACAACATTCTTGGAATGTCCTTCCTTATCTAATTTGTAATTTTTCTTCTTAATGTGTTTTACAGTAAAAGTTTACACTGATTATTTCACATTTTTATTTTTAAAGGTTTTATGGTTTGTTGACCTGCCTTTTAAGATTTTATTTTATTTTAAAGTCTTATATGAACATTCCAAAACCAAGATGGTGGAACTTTTTTAAAAAAAGATTACATTACATTAAGGGACATTTATGACAAATTTCCCTTTTATAATGAAATGCATGCTGATGAAAAACAATCAGCCAAAGCTTATATTTCCTGTCTCAAGGTTTTCTTTTTAAACACTTCCCTGCAGATTATTGCAGAATGAACAAAAAACTAAGAACTAATAGTACACTGTAAGTTGTCAGTAATAGTAAAATCATTGTCTTGCTAGTTCATTGTTTCTTGTTAAATACATACCACTGGGGGAAACGATAACTGGTTGAAGCAGTCTTTGTTCTCCTCCTGGAGGTAAATTCAGTGCAATGACTAAAACGGTGCCTAAAGTAGTCCCAACCCACAAGCATGGTGAAGGTGATGTATCGGCTTTTCGGGTGAAGGTCTCACAAAAGTGGAGAGCTGAAATTGCTTCTCGGGATTCTTTATCAATGCTGGTTACACTAGAACTTCTGGATCGGCTGAAGGAATTGTCTCTAATATCTGAAAGATTTTGCATTAATTAAACATGCTGCAACACAATATTATTGTTTCTATTTCATACTTTACAGAACATTATACATACAGTATATCCACCTCTAAAATCTCAATTCAGTAATGTTAGGTTCATATCATCATTACATTTTTAGGGGCATGCTTAAGATTTTTAAATTGTATACCTGAAGTACATAGGATTGATAAAAATATATTTATATATTTGGAAATGTAGAAGCACACTCATTAGACAGTTAATTGACTATAGCTCCCTGTGAACTATAGCGAACCTAGACATGTATGGTATACTTAAGTCATACTACACAGTAATATTTTGAACAGGAGAGTAGCTATCATTATAGTTTTCTCAAAAATAAATGTTACATTATACATGATGTACTACTTCAAATATATACAGCCATTTTCATTTTGATGAAAACTAGGTGCAGCACACCTGAATGGAAAACTTCTTTCAAATCTGTCTCTCTGACACACACAAACACACAAATATAAAATTATGAATTCCAGTTTTATTGTTAAGCAGCCATTATGAAGGTATTTTTAACCTAATTTCAGTAATTATGATTAGTGATACAAAAAGGAAATAATTATATGAATGCTTAATTATTGGAAACAGCACAGAAAAAAACAAAATAAGTATAGTTATCCAGAAGAAAATAAAAATCCAGACACTGAAACACGAATCAACAACAACCAACCACGTAACCTACTGAATATGATTTTAAAGATGATGAGATTGGAAAAGATATGTTTACCGAATAGTAAAGATTATTAAGATAGTGATAAAATATAGTAAATGTACTGAAGCATAATTAAAAAGAATTCATGTAAAAATCTGTTTGAAGGTATTGGAAGGGAAGTAGCAAGTTATTTATTCACAATCTTTTCAATGTCATTTTTAAGATTTAGAGCCTATCTTATAAATTTCTAATTTAATCTGCAGGAAGCAGATTCTGATAATTTTAGAGAATGTACTGGATAATACCCTAGTATTATTACCCTAGCTATATTATATATTATATTATATATTAGATGCAATAATAACACATAATGTGGGGCCCTTATGGTGAGAATATGCCAATTGAGAAAGCTCTGCATAGGGAAATATTATCAAGCTGTTTCAGATGGTTTTTGTGAGTAATTAATTATACTATTTATTACTGCCTTAACCTAAATCAGTGATGGCGAACCTTTTAGAGACCGAATGCCCAAACTGCAACACAAAACCCACTTATGCATCGTCGGGTGCCAGGTGGGTGTGGCCCATTGGGTGGGTGTGACCCATTGGGTGGGCGTAGCTGCGGTGATAACTGGGTGGGACTAAAAAGTTCAATCAATTCCAACTTTGCAAGATCTTTTTTTCCCCATGAGAAGTTGAAATTGACTGATTGATTGAACCTTTTTTTTTTTTTTGCACACGGCTGCGAAGGCCTAAAGTAAAAAGGTTTTATAAAACCCAGCTGAAGGCCTAGGACTGGGGTGACGGCACGCGTGCCCACAGAGAGGGCTCTGAGTGCCGTCTCTGGCACCCGTGCCATAGGTTCGCCACCACTGACCTAAATTGTAAATTTAGTATTTTTTCAAAACTACAATTTTAATATAGAGAGCAGAAAATTGGGTACAGCTATAAATAACTGTATAAGCAATTGATGGGACAATTCTAGTGTGTTTCAAAAGGAACTAAAATATTCCTTGAAAAATTAAGGATCTTCTTGGATACACTCATCAATCTATGCTAGTAAACGCTGAAAAGTACTATTTGTTTCACTTTTTTAAAAAAAAATAGTGAATGGAAAAGCAGAAGAGCATGCTAAACATTTTGGATATAGATTGACCCAAGTAAAAATAGTCCAATGCCTCATGAACAGACGCTACCCTTTCCTTGTACAATGTGGCTGTCTATAACTTTCCTCCTTACCTACAAACTCCAATATATCCCACACATCTATTATGAAATTTCCAGAAAAGTTTTTGAGGCTTTCTAAAGAATAAGAGTTGGATTGCTCCCAATCCCAATTCCACTTTTTCCAACAGAAAAAGTTCTGTTAACAGAAATAGATTTCTGATTATACTCATTGCCCAGATCTTATATCTTTGGAATTATAAGAATTCTAGGTCACTGTTAAGATCAAAATGTTTTATATGTTTTGTTACAATACAGTCAGTATGTTTTTAGAATAGCGTTTTATAAACTGTTTTTACTTTTTAAATAAAACAAAGAATTGAGAAAGGGATGAAGAATTACTAAAGTATTAGTATAAAATCTTACCATGAACAAAAATTGAGAGTTTTATATAAAACTGAAAATAGAGAATTAGGTGAATTGGTGAATTCAGCCTCTTTTGACTAAGTTTCTTTGTATTTTTATTTGCTTTATAGGATAAAAATATTTTATAGGAGCACTTTCTGGGGAAAATAATACTTCAAGAGATTAGTAGAGTTTTCCATAAGAAGTTTAAGGTAGCAACATGATTGAATAAAGTTATTCAAACAGATTTTAAATTGAGTTCAGCCCACTCTACTGATATATCCCAGATAATAAAATGTCATAATAAAGAAATGTTAATTTAAATTTAAGTCAGGCCAGGCTCTAATTAACCACGAGTTTCATAATATACCTGACCCTTCAATATATTTCTTCATCTTCTACAATTACAAAGTGTTTTTGAAGGTAATACTGTCTTCAGAAACATTTATTCAGACCCTTACAACAATGAACAAGAAAATTATGACATACAAAATAAAGAGCAATGTTAAATCTTCTTAAGGCAAATTGATTTAAACAATTAGCAAATTTAATATTTATTTAGTTGCAGATTAGACAAAGGATATATCTATTTAGATACCAGACATACCAGAGCATATTTAAAAATAATTTGTCAAAGAGAGATTTGTATTTGCATTTTCCATCTAATTATTTACTACTGTTATTTATTCCAAACTGAAAGTTATGTACAATTTCCTGATATTATTCTTGTTTTCTATTAAAGTAATAGTGTAAGTTATGACAATTAAAAAATAAACTATGAACAAAATTATACTTCTGTGGGTGATATTTTTCATGGCTTTTAAAGAGGAACATAAAAGTAGTTCCAAACTGAGGGCAAAGAAATTGCAAACATGCACTGCATCAAAACTTGGAACTGAACAATGAAAAATAAATGGAAAATTTCCCTACTTAGATGTGTGAAATTTCAAAATACACAAGTGTGTATTTTATAGCCTTTTGAAAGAGTATAAACACCATTAATACAGGCTTTGAACAAATACTTACCTAACTCAGGTTTCAGTTCAGTTGGTAAGCTTAATTTTCTAGACATCTTTGCTGAAAAATAATGTATAGTTTTGTAATAAAACTAGAATGATCATATTTTCAGAGAATATGAAATAATTAAAATTGTCAGTTTTCAAATTCAGAATTCATATATTAGTTCTAAGCAAGGAAGTATGTGTATGTAAACATACATTTATGAAAAGTTTAATTACAAAGGTGCAATGAGAGTATGACAATTACTTTTTCTGGAATTAAAGCAAATTAAAAATACTGATATTTAAAATTATTAGGCTTTCAAATGTCTTTATTGTGGCACATTAGGTGTTCTGATTTATATTTGTGCTCCCCCAAATACATATTTTAATTAGTACCAATCAAGATGGAGCCAAAGTTATTTAAATATCTTTTATAAGACAATATTCTGTCCCAAATATTGCAATTCTAAAATGGCAAAGATCATAGAAAATTGCCAGGAGATTAGAAAGATTTTCAGAATTATAGGAAAATTGACACACCACAAAGGGTAAAATATAGGGCTTCATAGGACTATTAGGGATGTACTGCTAGCATATTTATAAATGATGTTTTCTGACAACCATAGCAGTCATTGGGATGAGTGAGCATTCTCTTTCTAATGAGGAAACTGTGTCCCACTATTCTTACTCCTAGCTTGCATAGGAAAAAGGAAAAGAGGTTTTCAAAGAGACATTCTGTCCCTATTATTGAGGACAGATATAACCTGAATAAAGAGGATTCTATTATTTGGTTATATAATACAAGATTTAGCCCTTAAAGCTTGCAGCTGCTAAGAATAAAATCTGTTTCTTAAGGCATCTTGTGATACAGCTTTTTTAAAAAAACATGTTTTACATCAATAAATAAAAACAAGGCCATGCTTTGCAGGAAAATAAAATATTAAACAAATATACTATAGTGGCTAAAATCTAGAGTCAGAAAGCTTTAAAAGAATCTAAATGAAAAAGCCTTGTAACATAATTAGGACTGTAGCTACTATAAACATTTCCTTTTCATCAAGGATCCTTGGAATTAATGAACTGTTTCCAGGAAGCTCTATCAATTTCCCCTGCTTCAGAAAATACAAATTATGCTAATAAAAGGCCTGGGGATGGAGCTTTCTAAAGCTGTTATTTGCTACTGCTTTTTGTTTTAGAATAATTAATTTGGCTTAAAGGTAACTGGAATAAAATTGTTTTATGTTATGTAAAATCACAATTTGTATTATATTTGTGTATATTACTTTATATGTTGTTAGTTTCAAATAAGATTGAAAGTAGTTTAACATGTTCTTTGGTATTAAATTAAGAATCTAGGCAGCTTAATCCTTATTAAATACAATTTTGACAGAATTTAATACAATTATCTCTTTTTATTTTTAGGGGAGTTTTCAAAATCCACAATGGAAATATTTTCACCACCTTGAAGATAGACAAAGACAGCAACACAGGTTCATGCAAACTTGAATCCACACAAACAGTTTAAAAAGGCTAAGTTTGTGACTATAAAAATTAATAAAATATTGAAAAAAGGCTAAATTTCTGTGGGCAGCAGAAACCTGAAGATTGGAAATTATAATTACTATAAAAGCATTTCTCCATCTTTTTCCTATTAAAAAAATTGTACCTTTACTCATCCATTCAAGTATACTGCACAATAACCAGTAAAAAGTTTACACATGGCCAAATAATCTCTAATAAATGAAACCAAAGATCGTTGACTATTATCTGATTAGATCAATCCACACTTGGAAATAGCAGCTATACTTGTGTTTCACTTAAAATACACCCTATGGTATAATAATCTGGTTAATTTTAATCAAAAGTATCACTCCCTTTTTAAAACTGTCATCCACTGTAAGGCAGAAGGACTATTTGACAAGGACTTTATTAGGCCCTATATATTAAAGGAATGTTGGTATTGAATTATAATCAATATATATTAAAAGTGCTTATCTCGGCAAATTCTACACAATCCAGAAAGCAGGAAAAAAAAATCACCAATGGCATAACACATAGGTCACCCATCTAAATTCTAAATACTGAAATAATAATAATTATATATCATATATTTCCATCTGTCAATTAAAAAACACTTATTATATGTGTGTGTATACATATACATACACACACACACACACACACACACATATATATACACGCACATATCATATATAATAAACATATCTGTAATGTTTTAATTGACAGATGGAAATTTTGATGGCACTGGGAAAATCTGCGCACTCGCAAAATTTCCATCATTCGATTACAAAAGGTAAGATAGCTTGGAACATATACTGTATATCACGCTGATACATTACAATATACTAGGTTCTTGGGAGAACTTGATGCGTAGGAAGGCCACACCAACTAAAGAACTGGCAGCTGAGATTTCACACTGTTGTGTATGTAATAATTTTATTAACAGTAGAAAGTTTTATTAAAATCTATTGCTTTAAAATTCTATATGCAAGACTATTCAGCGCACTATATGCTCCTTTTATTTTTTTTCTCAGCTCTACACAACTAGTGTTAAATACAATCATGCATTGTTTGGAGCTAATTTTGGCACTACAACATCATTTGTCAAACTGATCTCTCTATCTTGTCCTACTTATAGAAACTTATGATAGATTTAATCTAATACTTTCCTCATTTTATACAGAAACAGAACCACATGTTACCTAGTTTTTGACAAACATTTGCAAATAAAAACTTTTATTTGCTGAAGATGATTATTGCAATTAGGATAGAAACTGAACTAGAAATTACTCTTGCTTAGATTTGCTTTCTCATCTTGTTATTAACAGGAAGTTTGGAGAATTCTACTATACATTTGTTTTGAATGGCAAGGGGAAATATAAACAATCAAATTCCTCTACTGTTGAGAAACTAGTATTTATTTGCAAATCTTAATGAACTTCCTTAGGGCATTTGAAATTGCCAACCATTCTCTGGAAATGAAAGGTATTTTTCTCTGAAAACAAAACTTCATGAGGCTGGTAGTTGCAGGAAGCACTTTTTGATAGACCTGTGAATATGAATTTAAACATTTCTAGAAATTGTTAATCTTGAAATAAATCTTGTTTAATTTTGATCCCAGAAAAAAAAGTAAAAAAAAAGCATTTAATAATATAAAGTGGTACTATGAAACATAAAACATGCTATGTAAATCTTGATTTACTGATAAAATTAATGTTGCTGCATTATCCCCATATTTCTCCATTAAATAACAGGTTAGTAAAAACCCAATTATAATTTACAAAGTACTAATGGAATTAAAATAAGATTAACACACTGAAAGTAAACATTTTATCTTTCAACAAAGAATGCAATGCTTTCTTTCCAAACTATTAAAATTGCTATGATATATTTTGAATCTGAAGAGCAAACATAGTGGAACAGAGTGCACCTTCTAACTTTCCCTGAATCAAGCAATCATTTTCTTGCTTTTCACTGCAATCTTAGTCCTCTGAGACCTATTCAGGCAAGCAGGAAAACAGATAAAGAGTGAAGCATATAGTTATAGGCAAAGGAGCAAGAAATTCTTTCCCTTCTCTTATAAAATGAAAATATCCCTCCCCACTTCTCAAGAAACTAATCCTAACTCTTATGTTAAGAAGACTATGTGTCCTAAAGTACAGCAACTGGAATAATTCAGTACAGAAAAGCTTGCAGTTGGCATTGGTATTAGGTATCATTGGTGGGATATAAAAGTTTATAATACCTAGAAAATTTGTCATTTTTTTTCATAATTCTAAAAAAATAAAAATGCATTTACCTTTCCTCCCAATTCTTCAGTCCATTTTAATCCCCCCAATTCTTCAGGAAAAATGTAAATCTCTTTTTGAAGAAAAAAAAAGTTTCTTCTTTTTTGTCCCCTCCAAAAATATTAGTTTTGCAACTATTTATCTGGAATAGTTACGTGACCACAACTACTTTTCCATTTAGATGTTATTTAATAGAATGAGTAATTTTTTTTTCTCTGCTACTTAGTCAAAGCAATTGCTGCAAGTAATCATAAGTGTCTCTATTTTGAGGAGTCTAATTGTAGATGACAACAGGCTAATAGGAAAACAAACACCTTAAAACTAAGTACTTTTATTGTTTCATAAGAGCCGTGGCGGCACAGTGATTAAAATGCACTATTGCAGGCTGACTCTGCCCACTGCTAGATGTTCGAGTTTCACCGACTCAAGGTTGACACAGTATCCCATCCTTCTAAGGTCGGGAAAATGAGGACCCAGTTTGTTGGGGGCAATATGCTGACTCTGTAAATCGCTGAGAGGGCTGTAAAGCACTGTGAAGCAGTATGTAAGTCTAAATGCTATTACTATTTCTATTATATTACATTGGAACTCTTATATTTACTCTTTCCTGTTTGATTCATCCATCTTTCTCCATTCCTAGCATTATCTGAATGGCACAGGATCCATCCAGAAGAACCTAATACTGATGTTACTAAAATAACATAAATACAATTTTAAAATCTACATTACATTGCTAGTACAACATGAATGTATCTAGCTGGTTTGGTTATTATTATAATATAGTATAGACTTTTTCAAAGTGAAATATAACAAATTTCATTGAGAATGCTTATCATTCAATACCATTAATATGATTTTAAAAAGTGTATTTTTTCAAACCATCTGCTATAATACACGTCACCATGAACCTCTTTCTGAATTCTAATTTCAGAAGAACTATAAAGTAAGAATGATTTCAACACTCTCATTCAAAACCTGGAAGTTATTAGTCAATTGTTATATCCAGGGGTCTTCAAACTTGGCCCTTTTATGACTTGTGGACTTCAACTCCCAGAATTCCTCAGCCAGTGTGCCTGGCTGAGGAATTCTGGGAGTTGGTCCACAGGTCATAAAAGGGCCAAGTTTGAAGACCCCTGGTTTTATCAAATATGGAACTAAATATATATAAAGTCTTTGAACATTTCTAAAAGAAAAGAGATAACATTAATTTGTCAGGTATCTTTATTTTTATTTTGCTATAAAAAGACAAATTAGAAACAAGCTCTGTGCAAATATATATATATATCTTCTGAGATGATCATAAAAATAAAAATGACAGAAACTGAAATATAGGGAACAAGAAAAGCCTTTATAGTGTAATAATATAATATATGCTCAAGTGAGCGCCACAGAATTAAAGTACATACTCCCAGATAAATGGCCATAGAACCAGAGTTTTAATTTAAGCAGAAAACCAGTAACTTTATACTTTAAAATAAAAATAAAAAAGCAAAATAACCATATCCAAGCAAGAAACTATTCCTACTCTCCTTTATGTTAATTCATCATTCACCATAGTTAGATCCTTACAACAGAAGGGTTCAATCATCATTCACATGTACTGCAAATGTTACAATTTTCAATTTATTGTCAATTATATTAGCTTGGTTAGCAGTAATTCAGAAATAAAAACGTGTCATACTTTTATTCTTAAAATTGGAAAAGATCTATAATGATTCATTTCAACATAATTCGGTTTATTCAAAAGGATCAAGTTACAAATGATTTATGCAGTAATGCTTCCACGATTGAACTTCTTCAATATCTTAAACCTGAAGCCAAATTTTTTTTGGTAGAGGAATGTGTGCATAAAATTAGAAAAGAAATTAAGAGCCCATCTCCTTGATTAAATAACAAAGCAAAGTATTTTAGAAAATAAGCAAATAAATGGTTAGGAGAGTATTAATTTAACAGTAATGCACTGCAGCTTGCTTTGTTTTATAACTGAATTAAGCGCTGCATAGAATAAAGTGCCAGGAAGGAGCAAAGGATATTTTTTTCTAGTTCCTACCTATATCACTGGCTATCATCTTGGAAAACTTTCTGCTTTTGGTTTTCACTGCAAATAATATTTTGATAGAAAATGTCAATTTACTAAAAAGATAAGCTAGTGAAATTAATGATAATACTGTACTCTTAGAAATAAAAATACTATACCCTTTTCTATAAAATTATTCATTTTTTGTTCATCACCAGAATTGTTGGGGGAACCAGAACCTACATGAGTGAAGACAAGAATGAAAGGAATATAAAGAAAAGAGGTTCAAATAAAAATACATACAGGCAAAGGAATTGGAACAGATTGTAAAAATAAAGAAGAGACACAATGTCCTAGTCTGTATTAAATGTAATGGTAATCTAAAATATATAAAATCAATGAGTATGGATAACTTTCATTTTTAATTTTTTTGTACTGGTAAAAACGTCTATATAATGTTCAGCTCTCCAAATATATCTCCTTCTGTTGATGCCCACCGAATTGGTATAAGGACCTGTTTCCCAGACAATTCTGTATTTCCTATGTCACCATGTCATTACATTTTCAATCAGACACATACCATTATTTTGGTTAAAATAGTCATTTCCTAATGAAAGGTAATCAAACTCCATCTGTTAAACAAGTGCAGATGATACATATTTACTCAATACTGTAAAGAAAAATAAAATTTGACAAGACTGTTTATGTTTAACAAAAAAAGTTCACAATGCATGACAGACAATATAATTTATATTTTAAATTCAGTGGTAAATTATATATGTAGTCAATCTAAATCAAAAAGAAAAAAAATAAATTAAGATTGAAAATACATCAGTGAAAATTTTCTTGAATAGTAAATTATAAAGTGCCACTCTTCATTTCAAAGCAGAATGAACCTATAGAAGAGGAACTGAAAAAAAATGGATACAGTGAGTAATTTATATGGTTTCCTGTTTTAAAAATAACTCATTTAGAGAACTTCTCAGAATATCTGCACAAAGCAAATCTCATGTGTGTAATGTATAGAAGCCATGAAGAGTAACAGACTTGGCTGATAAAATTGAATTGAAAGGTTAGGATTTGCATGTTAGTGATAAGGAAAAAAACTCTATTACATTCTCTATGATAGCTTACCATTAGAAATCTCAATCCTATCTAAATTGAGATGACTCATGTTAAAAATTGAAAATACAAGGATACTTGCCTTTATTATTCCTTCAGGAGAATTTAAGCAAAATTTAAAGCATAGTTGCTTTCCTATATATCAAAACTTTGTAAGAAATAATGTTTTACTTACCTGTAAAATTACTTCTAAAAATAACAAAACCTTATGTAATACTATTTTAAACTACTTCTTTCTAGGAATCTATGTTGAATTTTGGAGCATGCTTTATTTCTTTCTTTCAAATGATAGCTAACTTTGTTCTGCAATATCATATAAGATTGCAATTAAGCTCAAATAAGTAAGGGACTCCCCTCAAAATAAATTAAATCCTTTAAAAGAAATCATGAAAATCCAAATTAAACCATCTATGGCAGTGTGATCTATTTTTTTTCCAAATTTTCTACTAAAGCCCTTCCATCAGTAGTAGATCTTTTTATATAGTATCCCTTTTCCTCCTTGTATCTCAGATTGCTGTCACTTTAATAATTCAGGCTTCAGGAAAATGATGGAATAGAATGAAATAAATGATTGCAACCACCCATTAAAATTTGAATTGATAAAGTGATCATTACACTCACGTATTTAAGGAACATATTATAAATAATCATTTTGTATGCTGACTCAATTATGAATATTTTTGATACCATCATTGCTTTTTGTTTTTATTCTAGATCCCACTCTGATCTTTCCATCTTACTGCCAGAATTAATATATATGTGATAAAATCTTGGATGTCTTCTAAATAAAAATTATATAATTCACTTATAAACTGAAGCTCATACCAAAGTAAATTATCACACTCAATTGCAAACTTTAGTTTCTGATTAAATAAATTATGCTTCTCAATAGAATGATAGAACAAATTTCATATTTGCCTATGGTTAGAAAAATACTCCATGAAATTTCTGGGATCTACGTTTACTTGAAACACATAGTCCCAGGTAATTAAAACACTTCCCTTATATACTGTAATTATTATTGCCAATAGTATACATAAATTATAAGTACATAAAAATGGATATGGTATATGGCTTATTTGTATATTAAACCAAGGACAAACTTTTCACCTGATAAAGATATTAACAGGACCACATACTTGCTTGAACTGTATATATGAAAAATCATTGTGAAGTTCATTGTGAAGTACCTTCTGGAACCCAAAAATCAAAGAACACTTCCCCTCCATATAGCATTTGAAGTATTATTTAAACTGTTTGCAAATTTAATTAATTACCTGAAGTGGGTGACTTGCAACGATCTTCTTGTACTGTAGTACTCTCATTGATATCACAAAGACCTGCTGTAAAACAGAAAGCACACAATAGACTTTTTCAGATTTTTAACAAGATTTAATTTGGAAAATAAAATACACAAGATTTTTCTTTATTCAGACCTGTGTATAAATGTAATAAGTATATAAAGGGCATATGATTAAACTGAAACATAATACAATCTATGGTACAAATTGCAAACAGAATAACCACTCTCCACCTTTTTAATTTAAAACTCCAGAATTCTCCATTCTGGAGAACTACTGTTTTAATTTAAAAACATCTTTTTAACCTCTGACTCCCAAGCATTCCCTTTTCTGCCTCTGACATTATCTTTCCTTTCCCTTTATATTCACTAATACTGTGTGGATAGCATATTTTTGTCAAGGTTTTACAAACAGATTTGTAAAAGTCTTTTCCATGTTAGAGAACAGATGATTAGCATATTAAAGTGAACAGTACATCCCCAAAAGACACGTTTTGTAGGTCCTGGTTGCCTCCCCCCCACATAGAAAGTACAGAGCAGACTGGTACTTGAGGGGGAAACTTGTGTGCGGCAAGATACCAGGGGAATGATATAGATGATCAGATGGAGTGAGGGAAAGAAAATGAAAAAGGCTATGAAGAGCAATGAGCAGGTGAGGGAGGCAGATGGAACAAATCAAGGATAAGAAAATGAAATAACAAAAATCATCAAGATAAACAGGTAGAAGTATGTGCATATGACATACTATACATAGAAAGTCTCTTCTGGATTCAATTGTGCTGTCAGAAAATTTGGCATATGAGAGTGGCATCTGGTGATGGTCATATAGAAGAAAATCCTAAGTCAACAGAGTTTCTGTTTGGAAGGCCCAAGCATCAACTATGCTATCTATTCAGGGTCTCACATTAATCATTTTTATGGTAGTCTTGAAGTAACATTTTTATGAAGTGTTTTAAAATCCATTACTGTAGCATTTCATGAATGACCAATCCTTCACTATCACTCATTTTGTAATGGTATGTATGATACTTCTAAAAATTTCAAATGAACCCTCAAGCCAAAACATTGTATTAATATAATATTTCACTTTTATTATGTATTGTCACAGGGCAAACTCAATTGTACATTTTAAATATGAAAAACCCTTAAAACATAAATCATTCATATTGCAATGATGCTTCTTGAATCACAAAAGATACCACAGTGGTTATTGTGATTAAAGACTCTGATTAAAAATAATTCCAGTAATGGAATTTGTCCAAGGCTCTCCATATACAGTACAAGGAAAAATAAGCCAAGCTTCCTTTCATCACAAAAGCATAAATTTCATTTTCTCAGTTTGAGACTTTCAAATGTGTGTAGGTTGAAAAAGACTGAAATAGTTTATGCTTCATTTCTATTATAACCCTTTTGATTACACTAAATACTGCATTTACAAAAAAGCAGTATAAATTACAATTTAATGAGTTGTACATAATATAGGTTACACACTTAGGGTCAAATAGTTTTTGCTGATTAAAACAAGATGAAAAGCCTATTAAGCAATTTAATAATGGGAAAATTATCTCTAACACAGGAAACAAAAACTGTTCATATCTCATCTTCAATTTACCCTTGACAGAGTAAAACTGAACCCAGCACAAAAAATGAAATAGATGTTGGCAGTCCATAGATAAAATTGGGGGTGGGTGGGTTGTAGTATGAGAGATGCTGAGGTATACTGTAGAACTAGGACAAAAAATAGCAGTGTATTGGTTAAACTGATGTATTTGGATTGAAATGATCCAGTTGAAACCCAGCTCAACCAACTGTATTACTCTGTTGTTGCCGTGGAGACAAATTAAAGGAGAACCTCCATGTAACTTGCTTTAAATTCCTACAGAAAGTCAGAATAGATATTGGAAACAATATTTATATTGGAAGGCAAATGCTCTTTTTCTTTATAGTATATTCCCATTGACTATTTCAATTGTGTTTCTCCATTAACTGGTAATTTTCACAAGCCCTTATGTCTTTTAGCCTTATGTCTCTTACTGGTAATAAAATGGGGAGGAGAAAGCCAGAATATAAAGAAAGGCAGCAATCCTTCACTGAATCCCTTCACTACCACCCCTTTTCAGAGAGGCATATCTGTTGGACTTTGCATGAAGCTGCTGACAGAATAGTAGATTCAAAAATTCCTGGGGAAAAACAATCTGAGAAAATTCAAGAACTAATTGGGAGATAAAAAATATTGTTACATAAACAGAAGCCGTTTCATGGTTGAGATGCATATTGTTTGCAGTCAGAACTTTATAATTCAGACATGTCAGCACAAGATAAAATAATGAACAGTACTCTAGTCACTTTTTAAAGGGCTGTATGGAACCATTGAAAGTATTTAAAAACAATTACAAAGAAAGTTACAATTATAAAACAAGTTACATTCTTTCCCCAATATATCCACTGATATCCATTACTAGTTATCAGTAATGTGATATCTAGTTCAGTTTTATGACATACTTCTACAAAAACAACTTGGATGAAGTTACTATGTTTGAACTGAGTGAAAGTTTACTACCTTTATCACAGCATTTTTGGTGAAAGGATTTTTTTCTCTTTTCTTTTGATGCAACTAACATATGCACTCATTTTATAACGTTGCAATTACTACCAATGGGAGTGATTTTTACCACCTGAAAATATGCTTTCCAATATTTTTGTTACTGTTAAATTCAGGTAAAAAATTTGGGGGTAAATGATTCCACTTTTCTGGAAACTATATACATTGTAGCTATAGATCAGACATGTCAAACTCACGACATCACGTGACGTCGCACAACGTATCAGGACGGTTTTGCCATTGCCGGCAATGGGGTGGGCGTGGCTTCCGGATGATGCATCCGGCCCACGGGCCAGCAGTTTGACATCCCTGCTATAGATAATAACTTGCACTGTATTTTTACTCTATATTGTATATTGCAACTAGACTTAAGAAAACAAAAACACCCTGAGATAATCTCTTCCATACTGTATTCTGCAGTAGAATATTCTGCACTGGTATTAGATCAATATGATGGGTAAAATGCATGTATGTGTCCTATTTCATTTGAAGTCATAGTGGTATAGAGGTATCTTACTAAAAGGGACTTCAGTATACATCCTGTTGTAATTATTGTGAAAAATATAAAATATTTGACAAATTCAAAGTTACTATGCCAAATACATGCAATTGCTCCTCCCTCATGAAGAAAGCCTTGATAAGCTGTTCGCCAAATCAGAAAGCTTTGAAGAATAATCCTTCTTGAGCAAAAGCAACTTTCAGTGAATTCTTGATGGTTTCAGAGAAATCTGGGTTCTTGCTTTATTGACATCTCCTTATTTCACCAAAGAGGGTGGGAAGAGAAGAGATGATAAAACTTTAATGATGCTTAAGAGAAGAATCCAAACCCTTGGCAGGATATATGTTGGCCAGCATTAACATGCCAATCTGAGAGAATATAAAGGGAGTAGAATCAATGTTGAGTCCAACATGAAAAAAACAGCCACGTGACCTAGATGTGTGGTAGAAATACTAGCTTATGAGGAAACACTATGAAGTCTATTATGGCAGGGTGAAAAACTATAATCATCAAATGGTAGATTTTACAGGTTTTCCATCCCTCACTCACAGGGATCCAGTAGGAAGAGATTATTTTGGATTTAGCTTAAAGCTGCAGCATTATTTGCATGTATATTTGTGAAAACATAACATTGTTCAATTAATGACAATATACAAGTAGTCCTCAACTTACTACCACAATTAAGCCCAAAATTTCTGTTGCTAAGCAAAACAGTTAAGTGTGTTTTGCCTGATTTTACAACTTTTCTTGCCACAGTTGTTAAATGAATCACTATAGTAGTTAAGTTAATAACACGGATGTTAAGTGAATCTGGCCTCCCCCCATTGAATTTGCTTGTCAGAAGATAGCAAAAGAGGATGACATGATCCTGGGATACTGCCACTGTCATAAATATAAGGTAGGTGCCAAGCATCTGAATTTTGATTATATGACCACGGGGACGGTGTAAAGGTTGTACGTGTGAAAAACAGTCATAAGTCGTTTTTTTCAGTGCCACTGTAACTTTGAGTGGTCACTAAATGAACTCTTGTAATTGAGGACTACCTGTAGTGACCTTGCTATGAAAAGAAAAAAAAAAGCATTACTGAAAGCAACAGCAAATGCCAATTTCATTTTTCCTTTTTCATCTGACAGTTAAGTTTCATCTGGTACAAGAAGACAGGAATGAACTATGTAACTTGGCAGGAAAATTTGTGATAGAAATACTGAATCTGGAAAATGCACCTTATTTACAGGCTTGTAAAGAGACCAGATAGGACACTTTCTCATAGCCTCTTTCTGAAGCCTACACTAGGAGGTACCTGTAATAACTGAATAGTGCTGGTGAGGTTTGGCAACTGTTGGCTATAAACCAAACATATCACAGCATAAGTGGCACAAAGAGAGGCATCGGATACAGAGGAACCATGTATATTCTGTATCTTGCACTAAAAGCATAACAATATGTGTACCTTGTAAATACAAAAATCAATCTTTTGTTCATACAACAGTTGGAAAAGTGCTAACATAAAACAAATCTCAGGAAACATGAATAACTAAGCTGAACCTAAATATACTACATTGTCATTAGATAACTTACATATGTTAGAGGTGAGAAGGTTTTTCACAGAGTCTGAATATAAGCTAGAGTGGCCACACATGCAAGAAACAACAGCCAGCATGCCTTAGTGAAGCAATAAAAAGAAAAGACAAGACACCAACATTTTGCAATGGAAGCCAGGAAAATCTACTGCAAAACTTGATTTGAGTAAGATATAATAGAAACAGAATCTGCTAAAAATTTTAAAAAATGAATACAGAAATTATTGCTATTATTTGTCTAGAAGTAAGTTACAAATACACTTTTATTCAATTACTTCAGTTGATCACAATATAGAGCTACTATAAAAACTTTGAAAAAACATCAATTCTGGTCCTGTCCTCTGGGGCAACAGAAAATATGTCCATTCCAGTTTATATGTGATATTTGAAAGTTGCTAACATATCTTCTCTCAGTCATCTTTTCTACTGGGTTGACTTTAAGGCTTGATTTCCAGATACTTCACCTTTTCTGAATTTTCTCTCATTTGTCATCCTTTTTAAACTGTGATGCCCATAACTAGATACAGTATTCCAAATGGGATCTGACCAGGGCAAGCTTAGAGTTAATAATTACTTCCCAGGATCTGGACTCTATTTTGTTAATGCATCCTAAAATAGCATTTGCCCTTTTAGCAGCAATGCCCCACGGCTGGTTGAATTTAACTTGTAATCAACAAGAACACTCAGATCCTTTTAAAACTATTACTGCCAAGCAAGATCTTCATCATCCTATACATTTTTCCTATCCAGATTTAGAATTTTAATTTTCCTGCCCACTAAATTCCATTCTACTTATTCCATTCCATTCAATTAATTTCATTCAGCCTACTGCTCAAGATTGTTTAGATTTTTGACTTCTTTTTTAGTCTTCTTTCATCTAAACTACTTGTAACTCCTCCCAGTTTGTTATTATCTATAAACCTGATAACTTTAGATAAATTCTCTAAACAATATCATCCAAGTCATTAAGAAAACGGTTGAAAAGCACAGAGACTAGGACAGTGCTGACTACCCTCTAAGCAGAAATGGAACTGTTAATGACTAGTATATTGAGAAGCCATTCAATCAATTGTGGGCCCAGCTAACATTTAACTCATATTTTACTTTTTTATAAAAGAAATATCATGTGGTACTCTGTTGAAAGCTTGCCAAGGTCTAACCACACTAAGACTCTGTACATTATGTCCTCAAAGTTAGCAACTCTATCAAAGAAGGAAACGAAGTTAGACTCACATGATTTATTTGTGGCAAACCCATGCTGATTTCTGTTAATTGTAGCATGCCTATCTTAGACTTACAAATACAGCTGTAAAGAGAGCTACTTTAAGAAGATATCAATAGCCGCCCAGTCCTAGTGAATAGTGTTCAGCACTTCCAGAATTGTCTGTTCAGACACAGTTCACACTAATGACAGAGAAACTGTTGACTTTTTTTAGCCAATCAAATTTAATATACTATAAGTATGTAATTAAAAAAGAATAAAAAAGAAAGATGGGAGAAGCATTGGAGGTTATGATTGAAGTAGTTAGTTCAGAAATTAGCATATAGAAATCCATGAGGGAGAATTTGAAAATAATGAGCAGACTATGATAAATTGATACTGTTTAATTGAAAAAGGTGTTAGTGGCTGAACAACTTAGTATGAGTAAATCTGTCCATGACAACCAGAAGAAAGGTTTTCTAGAAGAAAATCCTACTATCTATGTAGCTACTATCTAGCTTTTATTTGTCATTTTCAAAGAAAAGGCTAGTAATCCACATTTCTAAAAAGCAAAGTATACATTTTTATCAGCTCCTTACCTCCAGATGGTTGTCTACTTTTACGTGGAGATCGAGGTTCCCTCCGATAAGGATCATTAGAGCCATACAATTCAATAGTGCCAAGGTTTAAAAGCATGGTCTTTTGAATGTAATCAACCATTGCAATACCATTACAATTACCAAAAACTACTCTGGAAAAGAGTTATTGGAAAAAAACATGATTCAGATGAATGTTTTCTACTGATCTCTTAATTTTCCAATATGCACATTTAGACTAAAAAATTAACTGACAAATTACTTTAATAATAGTAACATGGATTTATGTTAGGTATCTGAATATCAGCCTTTCACCCAAGGTTTCCTGTACTTATTACATTCTATTTCTCTTACTCTCTCATCAGAGGTTTTAACTTTTGCAAACACTTCCCTTTAGCTAGAGCTCAAAAATATAGTTTTATCATAATCAGTTTTTCAGACGCTCTACTTTTTGACTAAAACATAGCAACATATCAAACCAATACATATTTGATTACAGCCATAGATTTTTGACATAGATTATTGATATCAATCTTTATTTTATCATATATACAGTATGTATGTATGTGTGTATATATATATATATATATATATGTCTTTGGTCATTTGGGTTCTCTCCCGCGTAAAATTGGAATATATATATATATATATATATATATATATATATATATATATATATATATATATATATATATATATGCATGCTATGCCATGGGAGTATTTTTATCGATATTTTCTAGAAATGTAGACAGTTTCACAAAATTAATTATCCATATAAATGAACAGATGCAGCACCAATCAAGATGGACAATATGAATAAATATAATACTATTCGTAATAACCAAAAGAATGACACTTTACCCCAAATAATTATTTGTGAATTGAGGGGCTTCTTACATTCTCTAATTAAAAAAGGAGAATATTGAATAGATAGCAATGGACACAGATGCAAATAACTGTAGGCATCTCTGCTGAAATGTAAGGATGTCTTTGAAGATTAGCCAGTAGCTAGGAGAATTGCTTATCTAGTGATTTTTAACCTTTTCTCTAGTACTTAAACAGGCACTTCCTTTTTTCTCTGTACATGTTCCCCTCATCTTATTAGCATTCAGTTTTGTTCCCTCTGTCTTTGTCTTTCCCTTCCCAGTACAGTTACACTTTCCCCTTCATCCCATGACTATCATACTTTTAAAAAAAATCTATTTTAAAACATTTGTTCTGTAAGGAAAATATATGTACATCTTATTGTTCATGAAAGAAAATGATTGGCATATATAGATGTGGGTTTAATTAAATTTACAAAGGTGTGCCTTATTTTAAAAGCAATTAATCTTTTCTGAAAAAATGCCATACACACCTTACATCAATAATTATTTCTCCCACTAATTACAAAGAAATGCAGTAGGTTGTTATTGTAATTAAGGGGTCTCTAGACTAAGACTACGGTACTATTGTAATATATACCAATAGATTAATACAGCTGTACATGACCTTAAAGTATCTGGTGACAAATTACTGAGTTCACTTAGTATTAGAGTGACATAAAATATTGAGTTCATTTTCTAATGTAGTATTTGAGTGAGATAAAATGTAAAACCAGTTTACTTACAATCCATATGCAGAGTTGATTGCAAGACTTGTTATTTGCTGAGGAGGTTCACCACTCACCCATACTAACTGGATAACTAGCTCGGTCTGGTATCCTGGAGACTGTTTAAGGGGAGAATTTTTAACTCTGCAACGTAAATGAAAAGTGCATTAATAGTTAGCCTTGGGAAAGTCTTAATTTTTTTTTTCAAAAGACATCTACAGTATTTCATTATTGGTTTTACATATTTCTGCAAGCTAGAGCAGCTGTAAATATTTACTGAGAAATAGCTCATTGATCTGAAGATTTTTTTAAACATCCACAAGCACACATTTAGAAAACATTCATAAAAATGCTCTCTTGTTGAACTTTTATTTATTTTTGTATTTATTCAGTTTTTATCCCATTACAATCTTACACTCTCAGATGTTACAATAAAACATCAAAAGAATTAAAATAACACACAAAGCAAATTGCAAAAACAAAATACAACAGAAACTGAAACAACAAGAGCTGTTCTTACTAAAGATGTTTCAAAAGACTGTTCACAAGAATTCTATTTTTAATAATTCCCTGAAAGCTCCCAAGTAGGGTGTCAGTCTGATCTCAGTGGAGAGACCATTCTGTAGCATTTTCACTATGGGGAAGCAGCCCTTTCCAACTTTAATTGTCCTGACATCCAGGAAATAAAGGACAACATGGAGACCCTCCCTACATGACCATCATGATTTGCAATACAAATGTAATAGGCTGTCAATGTTGGGAGACAGCTGTCAGTCTTGTGAAGTAGTCCATGACAAGAAGCAGCTGTATTTTATTGTAAGTTTATATTACAATAAAAGGTTGTCAGGTTACATTAATAGAATCTTGCAAGACCAAAATTTCTACCAATCCCCTTTACAGTCTAAGAAATTAGTAAAGGTCCCAAGACATTTTCCACACCCACATTCCTACTGTGGGTTATCCGACCATTGCCCTGGCTGCAGTTCTTCCCCTACCTCCCACAAATCATTACAATATTATGGATGTGGGCTGGTGAATTCTGGAGCAACTATGATTTTTAGGTAGTCCTTAAAGGCAGACCTATGTAAAGTGAAGTGCAATAATCTATGTGGATGATGATAAGAAATTGAGATATTTTTGCTAGGGTCCTACTAGAACCAGGAAAGGACAATTGGCACACTATCAAATGTTGGGTAAAGGCTGTCCACCTTGGCTTACACAGGCAGAATCTGCAAGTCTAGAATAACCCTCATTTCAGAAACCTGTTCCTGGAATGGTAATGCCTGCCTATTCAGGGATAAAACTAGCACCAAAGGAGAATTGTGATGTACAAACAGCAATCCCGTCTTGCTTGAATCCAATTTGAACTTGTTCTCTTCCATCAAGATCTTCACAGCCTCCAATCATTGGAAAAGAACATCAATAACTTCTCCCTGATAATATGGGGGAACGATGTATAGCTGGGTATCATCAGCATACCCTATATATCCTGAACTGCTGGATTATTTCTCCCAGCAATTTAAAATACTGCAAGGGCATTCCATACGTAAGGATCCACTGAGCTGACCTCTTCTCCACTACAAAAGACTGAGACTGTCCACAGAAGAAGGAACAGAACCACTAAGAAACAAAGGTGTCAATCCTCTACCTTGTAAGTGAAAAATAGGAGGGAGTATTGTGTATACTGACTTAAGTTGTATAAATAAACAAAAGAAGGCAGGCTCAGAGGTTGCCTGGTCAGATACTACGATCAATAATATTGAAAACTGCCAAGAGATCTAAACCAGCAAAAGGAATTGAATGTCACCTCAGTCTGTATGCAAGCCTGAGCCCAGAATGAAGAAAGCCAGTCTCAGTGACATTCCCCAGAACATGAATATTGGAAGTCAGACAATATTTATCCAAGATTAGGGGATGGAGAATGTCTGAGAGTCATTCTCTTCAGCAAGGGTAGTATTTATTGCCTTCTTCCAGGTAGCTAGGACCTGACCCAAATGTTAAGGGGGTACTAACAGGCTCGTGGATCCACATGGTTGCTCTCATAATAGCCAGGGTGGGCAGGGGGCCAAGCTACATGTAACAATGGATAGCCTAGACCAGGGGTAGGCAACCGTGGCTCTTTTATGACTTGTGGACTTCAACTCCCAGAATTCCTGAGCCTGCATGGCTGGCTCAGGAATTCTGGGAGTTGAAGTCCACAAGTCATAAAAGAGCCACGGTTGCCTACCCCTGGTCTAGACAGCACTCTGTCCACTTCCTCAGAGCAAACAGTCCAAAAGGAATTCCAGAGAACAGGGCAAAATAATATCCCAGTTATTACCACAAACACTGCCTTTGGAGATGCAAGACTACGTGAGTCTAAGAAATTTTGTGAACAAAGTATTGTGCAAATTGATCACAGCATCCAGGTTCCTATAGACCCTTTTCTCAGAAATCAAAAGAATCCATTAGGTGCCTGGGGTGAGCCATTCAAATAGTATTGCCATCCTATAGAGGTCATGGTGACTCTAACTTTAACTAAGTAAAGACATGATCTAACCATAATAATTGGGTATCAAAGCCCTTCCAGTTCCAGATGATATAACATCAGTCCAAGGCAAATATGAAGTATTTCCATCAGCTTAAGCACTCAAATAAGTGATACTCATTATTTAGAATACACTATCATACTTACTTTAAACATGGGACATTATCACGAAGTCCATCAGATGAGCTACTGCTAGTGGAGGGATGAGACTGGGGGATGATGGATTGAGGATTGGAACCTGTGCCTGGAGTAGGCAATGGTGGCATTTGCTCAGGATCAGGAGATTCTATATAATTTATTTCATACAATAGCCGTATTTCAAGCATCTGCAAATGAGAATGAAACAGCATATAAGAAGAATTTAAAATTAGTGATGCATTCTCTTAAAAGCAAATAACTGATTTTGGCAATATTCTGAAGCTGAAATGCATCCATCAAACTATTACAAAAACAAATCAGATATTTTATGAAGATGTCACTATGGTTCTAACTTCCATAAAGACTGATATTAAAGAATGCTACTTTCAGGATTTCCGGTTCTGCCTCGCAGCAACATGGCCAAGGGACTGTGGGGCTCCGCACCCCACGGCTGGTTTCAGCCTGCCAGGCGACCCTAAATGGGTCTGATGTCGCCCCAGAGAGATGACGAAGAGGGACACCCCGATGATGACGAAATGACTGCAGTTGAACTGTTTGATCTGGGGAAGCCCTTTAAACTGACAGGAGAAAGGCTAGCTGCACACCAGCGTCTAGCCCAAGCTGATAGCAGCTGAAGTCCAAGAGCACAAACCAGAACAAAAGTGAACAGAATGCTTGGAACTGGGTGAGATTATTGATCTTCTCTCTTCTATTTTGTAACTGATTTCTTAGAAAAGATCCCCAAAGTAAGAACTCCTCCGAAAATGAAGGATCACATCCCTACCTTTCCATAGCAGAAGCGGCGAATTAACTTCCAAGGGGGAAAGAAATATACTGAAATGAAATTAATATTACTATAGTCTGGATAAATCTGAAAATGAAGAAAACCCTTAAGATTTTATATCCTAAAGAGTTCTGATGAAATTTTAAAAAAAGAAAAATAATTCTTTGTTTGAAAAAGTTGGAAAATGAATAACTACTGAAATCTAGTGAGAACTAGAGCATAGAACAATAGTGTAATACTGACTCAGAAATTGGCAAGATACCCAGAAATAAAGAATAATCTGTTCCCTTGAACTTTATTAACCCTCAGCTAAATAGAAAACTGCTGAGAACAAAGAAAGAAAACATACTGGGCCACCCATAAGCTTAAGAAGTGTCTGCAAAAAAACCCAACAACCTTTAACTGTTGTCTAAGCTCAAGAATTGTTTTCAGAGAAAGAAAAACTTTGACTCTTGGCTAATCTTCTAGGGGAGAATTTACTGGAAGGCTTTAAGATGGTGAAACATTTAGCTGCAATTCTGACTGGTTGATAATTCAAAGACCTCTGAACAGAAGAATTATTATAAAACACTGCTTTCGTTGATGCCTTGATAATTGGAAATGTATTGGATTACAAAAGAACATATATAAAGATAAGAACTATATAAGATTTGGTTGTTTGGATTTTAAGATTGGCTGGTTTGATAAGGCTAAACACAGAGACTATGGTACCGATGAAAGACTACCTGGAGGGAGACAAAATGGATATTGCATACCTATCTAAAAGTGACAGGAAACCACACCTAATATTCCCTTCTAAAGGACCTAGCCTGGAACATCAGAGATCTGCAGGAGCAATACTCCAAGATGAGAAAAATACTTTCCAAGAGGAAATGTATGCAATGCTACAACAGATTCAAATGACAATGGTTTCAAACCACGATGAGATTAAAAACCACTTTGATGACATATATGAGCACATCTTCAATTTAAAATCACAAATAAAAAACTCTCAGAAAATGATGATAAAGAATGAACAAACAAACCAGATAACAGAACACAAACTAAAAGAAAGTGACTTAAATAGGAAAGCTACAAATCAAGAGAACTACAATTTAAAACAAACAGAAAAAAATCTACAAAATTTTGCCACGACAATGGAAATGGAAAAGATATATCTATCAGGACTTCAAAACAAACTTGAGGATAAGAAAAAAGATTTAATAAAATGGATTATAGAGTTGCCAGGAGAATCATTAGAGTCTGGGAGACAAAAAGTGTACATCATATACAGCCTATCTTTCTTACTCCCAACAATATTTACAAAAAGTGTTAGATTCAAGAGACCTGATTCAACTTATCAGATGGAGTACAACATGATTAACACTTGTTTGAATATGGTTAAAAGAATAGATAATTTTGGATATAAAGAAGCTATAGGAAGAGGGATAAAAGATATAAGTACTATAGTATTTTTTATAATATATGAAATGTAAAAATATTGGGATGATGTATGTGAATGAAAAGTTAGGACATTTAAAGGTCCTAAATATATAACTTTGAGAGAAGTATGACCAAGAAGAATGATTTGAATATTGAGAGAAAACTAAGCTTAAATAAGAATTTTGAAAACAAGACATATAATGACAACAAAATGACTTTTACAAATATAATTGAAACATAAGCCAACCAGAAAAGATGTTATATGTGGATGTTATAAGATATATAAGTAGTATAGTATCTTTATAATATATGAAATATGAAAATATTGGGATGGTATAAGTAATTTGATGGTGAACTCATCAAATTTACAGATGACACCAAGCTGGCAGGAATAGCCAGCACTCCAGAAGACAGGCTTAAGATACAGAAGGATCTGGACAGACTTCAACACTGGGCGCTATCTAACAAAATGAAATTCAATGGTGAAAAAAGTAAGGTTCTACATTTAGGCAAGGAAAACCAAATGTACAGGTATAGTATAGGGGGTACCTTGCTCAATGTGAGAGGGATCTCGGAATCCTAGTGGACAATCACTTAAATATGAGCCAGCAGTGTGCTGCAGCTGCCAAAAAAGCAAACACAGTGCTAGGCTGCATTAACAGAGGGATAGAATCATGATCACGTGAAGTATTAATACCACTTTACAATGCCTTGGTAAGGCCACACTTGGAATACTGCACCCAGTTTTGGTCACCACGATGTAAAAAAGATGTTGAGACTCTAGAAAGAGTACAGAGAAGAGCAACAAAGATGATTAGGGGACTGGAGGCTAAAACATATAAGGAACGGTTGCTGGAATTGGGTATGTCTAGTTTAATGAAGAGAAGGACGAGGGGGGACATGATAGCAGTGTTCCAATATCTCAGGGGCTGTCAAGCTATTTTCCAAAGCGCCTGAAGGCAGGACAAAAAGCAACCGAAGGAAACTAATCAAGGAGAGAAGCAACCTAGAACTAAGGAGAAACTTCCTGACAGTTAGAACAATTAACCAGTGGAACAACCTGCCTCCAGAAACTGTTTACTAAGCACTAAAGATTGTCATTGTAAAAAAATCGATAAAATATATTAAAAAAAAGAATGCTGCTTTCAAATCTGAGTACTAGAGAGCTACATATAGGGCAAATGCTTCTAGGTGATGTCATTAAACATTAACACCACTACTTTGAACTGCTACTAAAAGCTTACAAGCCAGAACAGATGACTCTGAAATAACAGAGGTGATTTTGGCTCATCTTTTGTCAATTAAGCTAATTTCAGCACTCCATATCATTGGAACTCCTATATCATGTTCCCAAGCCTGAGACAGTAATCAAATATTACTGCTAGACAGCCAGAACTAGCTCAGCATCCTACTCTGGTTAAAGACTCACTGTCTACTCTTGTCATTCAACACCAAAGAGATTCCATAAGCATTTCCATCTAGAATAAATGATAGCCAATCAGATTTTTATACTGTATCTTCTCTATACTAAGATCCTAGTTTCCATCAAGTCCATAAACCTGTTCAAACATTCAATAATAGAATAAACCATTTTCTTGGACATGATGAAAATGAACTGACAAAACTAATAACATTTTTCAATTGAAAGCAGCTACAGGAAGTTTTAATGATAATTAGGACAAGAATTTGCATAGCTAAGCAATGTTGTCGTAAAGTGCGATATCATGCAACCATGTTGCCTAGTGACAGCAATCCTGGCAGTCTCTGTTGCTGTCATTAAGCGAAGGTTGCAATTCATTAACTGAGGACCTCCTTGTGATTTTCAGCAAGCAAAGTCAATAGGAAAGCTGGCAGGAAGCTGCAAGTCCAAGAGGGCTCACAAGCAAGCTAGTTGGGGGGTTAGTGGCTGCTGTAGTACAAGTGTAACTGGGCAGTGGGTGAGTGCTCCAGACTATGGAAGGGGGCACAGGTGACTGCTACAGCCTGGTACAAGCATGCTGAAAGTGGGGTGAGTGCTCAAGAGGGCAGGAGGATGGTCGGATGGATGCTATATCCTGGAATGAGTTTGGTCATCTGTACGGAGTGAGGGGGGAGGATGTGTGGGGACCTAGCAGGCATGGGAACGACTTAAAGGAGCTACTTCCCTAATGATTTTCCCATTTACTCTGATTGTAGTAAACTGGCAGGGAAGGTCATAAACGACCTTCATGTGACTGTGGGATGCTGCAACCATCATAGGTTTGAGCTGGTTGCCAAGTGGCTGGATCATGGTCACAGCAGTGCTGGGACAGCCAGAATGTTACAGCCAGATCATAAGTACCATTTGTTCAGCGCCATCCTATCCTTGAACAGTCGCTGAATGAGTGATTGTTAACCAAGGACTAGCTGTACTAAACTTTCTGTCCCATAGGTACATAGAGATGCCAGAGAGCACGAGAGGAAAAAATGGATAGGGCCTAATGATTTCCTGTGACTGAGCTGTAAGGTAAAAGAAGAAACATTTCACAGACATGATTTAATTGTTAAATTTACCAAATTTGGTTCAATTATACTTGTATTTGTAATGAATAAGGCCACTTATTTCAACAGGTCTTGGTCCCAGGGAAGTAACCACAAAACATAATTGTCTCTTTAATAAACTTCAATCTGAAGAACAGATTAAACAAAAATGATGCAAATTAGGCATTGTTACTATATTTTCACTGTTGAAATACAGGGATCTCGATAACAACAGATATCTTAAGTGAATGCCACTTAAATAGAAATAAATTTAAGTGAATGCCATTACCGGAATAACTTCTGTTGTTATTTCTTGTTTGCTGAATCTGTAAACAATGACATGTGCAGAAACTCCTGCTATGCACAGCATCCTGCTTTCTGGACACCATGAGATGATCTGAATGGCATATGGATCTTCATCTACTATGTCAGTGCTTGGCCTATCTTCTTTATTTCGAGATTTTTCAAATACTTTAGCTGTTTTTAATTTGTATAGTACTTGCAAAGTTACTAGGAATAAATTAAGAAATAAACTTGGTTATATGTTTAAATGAAATCATTTTGAGGAGACTATTTCTCCATTTAGAAATAGGACCATTATTCAAGGAAAGCAATTCTGAAAGAAAAAATAGGAATATTATTCAAACAATGCAATTCTGAAAGAGAGGTTATATTGCAGGGTGTTTAAGTTTCATTAATTTGGTTGACATCAAATATCAATGCACAGAAAGAGCTGTGTCTGAGCTGCATTTATTGTGACAGAAAGATATTCCACCTTATAATCTCTAGTCTGAGTCTCAAACATAACTTTTAACAAAAATAAAGGATTTTCAGCAAAATTACTTAATTTTATATATTAAAAGAAGTGTTAATTATGATATGGCACTAAGATAGAGTGCATAATCAAAAATTGTTGAGTTTTAAGTCCTATTCAAAATAGACAATTTTGTCATCACTAATTTAAAGTATATTCATACTGAGCAATATTTTAATATTCAAACAAATAAAAAAAGAGCCAAGTAATGTCAGTACTATGCCATTCATATTATGCTGTTCATAACAGCTTTTACATGTTAAATGGCTTTGTGTGTGTGGGGGGGGGAGGAGTAAGAGCCTTATTGAAAGTGGCAAATGACTCACTTGCAGAGGCATCCCAAAACTTGACCGATCCATCTGCATGCCTATTAAAATATGAAATGTTTTTAAAAGTAAGTTTAGAAATTAAAGAGTAGTGAGATTTACTTAGTTATGCTAAATTTATATAATAATTATACAGCTTTATATAGTTATTGGTTTCTTAGCATTGACATGTTATTAGCTCAACAACATAATAAGCAAATTATTGTGCTTAGAGTCTTAGATGCAATATTACAAGTATCTTTGCAGTCTGAAGAGAAATTAGACTTGCTTTTTCTTTTCTTCCAACTTAAGTGTGAAGAATTTTTTTCTAACCCCCATGGAATATAGTTGTTGAATTTAACTAAATTCAACATTTTGCATTTAACTAAAATGCAAAAAGAATCCCCTCTTTTTATACCATTTTAGAATCTAGAAGAATTAGTTGTCCTTGGTCTCATTAATCATTTAACGGTTTGGAGCCTTTTTGTTCTGTAGAGTAGGGCAAACCAAGGCTACAATCTCAACACTTACTAGAGAATAAGCTGTAATGAATTCAAACAAGATTATTTTTTAAATTGCACAAATTGCACAAGACGTCAATCCTATCTCTATTGTTCTCAACTCTATTTTTTTGAATACACTAGAATGAACAATGGAATCTATTAAGACATAACTATAACACATACATTATAACCAAGATTTTCAACATGTAGTAATGTTCTGTTTGGTACCTTACTATTTTATTACTTACCCAGTAATAATAATCTCTGGATAACTCTGTGTGACCAAACCCCAATTTCCACCATTGATAGGCCATTCCTATTAAAAAAAATAATTAAATCATAATAACAATTGCCCACCAATATATAAAGAACAGTACTTCAGAATATGATATTAGCACTTTTTTTTTTTACCTTTTTACTATAGCCTTGACGCTTTTGTCGTGCACCCACTGAATAAAGTGCTGGAATAAGGTCTACAGGGCAATCAGCAAAATATTCACAACAAGTGACTGGAGATTCATGTATATTCAAGGGATATGGATTCTCAAATATAGGATACCTTTAATGAGGTGTTAAAAAGACAAGCATTGTTATTTTTTACATATTAAATTTGATACTATTCAAACTATTTTTAACTGATAAAAATATTAAATGAGAAAAAGAAATGAATACAATTATGAGAAGAAATATAGCACTTGAAAAACATAAACGTATGGCTTTTTGGCACAGTAGCATCTTTGAAGCATAATCACTACACCATTACTAGTATTATATATTGATTTATAGTTGTTTGATTCACATGTACGTGTGTTCATTTACTGGTTGTATCTGTAGGCATGTATATTGTATCTTGTGTCAAGGATTTGGGTATCAGTTTGTAAGAAAATATGTGTATGAAAAATGGAGTACAAGAGATCTATTAAAAGTATATCACAAAAACATAAGGTTTTATTAAGATTTCAGTTAATGAAATACATTAAAAATGTAAGCTTAGAGACTTCTAAGAAGGCTCAACAAAGAGAAAGATCCTCAAAACTGATCTTAAACTCCGTGGTGGTACTTAAAATATGAGTTGGTTTCCATTTGTGTAAATAAATAAAAATTTTAAGTTCAGAAAGTGAACAATAAAATTTGAATTTGTTTAACCCAAATCTCTGGATAAACAAGAAGAAAAAAGTATTAAATAACTGAATGTATTAAAATGTCCCTCCTTAGGATATTCTTCATCCATACCACACAGGAAAGTTTTAATTACAATTTTCTTTGCAATTACAAATGCTGATACCCATCAGCATTCATGCTTACTTTCAACCAAGTATATTTAGATAAAATTAAAATGTCTATAGCATGTCATGTACAGTTACTATAGAAATGAGTTCACTAAATTTAATGATGCCAAAACTTCATTAAAATCTTTTTCTTCCAGGAGTCCAATAAACCTAGTTCATAAAACATTAACCACTATAGAAACAGTATATTGTTATACATGAGTAAGGAAATAAGCAAGAAATAGGTATCTCCATATTATATTTTTATATCTTACCCATTTTGTGCAAGGTCAATAACTACTAAATCTTTTTCTAGGAGAACAACCACAGCGTATGGCTCTTGGAAATCTAAAGAAGAGATACAGATATTCAAAGAAGACCAATTAATAAATTCAAAGAAGACCAATTAATAATTCACATTTGGTAAATATTTAGCCACTGTTGATTTCACACAAAGACACAAAGATACCAGTAAAGCATTAACACAGAGATTATTTCAATTTGAATAGTGTGAATAAATGTCAGAAAATACCAGAATAATTCATGTTTAGTATTTTACTTACTCATGTATTTTTATCACTTTTGCCAAAACTTTATTACTAATTTTCAGTAAAAATCCCTAAATAGTGTAACATTAATAAAGCAATTAAGAACATTTGAAACTAATCAAAATGAACATAAATAACCGCTGTTAATATAAAAATCCAGCCACATATACATCTAACAAAACCAGGAAAAAAATGAACCCCCCAAAACCTCAAAGAAAACTGATGGCTTTTCAGATCCTGATGGCTTATCAGATCTTTCACTGATAAGGAAAAGCAGAAGAATACAAGTCACAATATGACTTACATTCTCCTCTTGGCCAAAATGCTAGGTCCCTCTGCTAGTCTGCCTGATAATCACACGGACTAAGAGAAGCAATTCTAATAGAAAATTGCAAGCAGCATTGAAGCTGTGCAGAATTGGTGAACTGGTGCAACTAAGAAAAGCTCTCAAGAGTTCACATGAAAATTCTGGGTATTCCAAAAGTTTTCATTCCAACACATCACTCCCTAGTTTTCCTTGAATTTAGTATGAAATTAACCAGATTATTCTATTTCTAATTTTAAGAATCTGGATCATATTTTCCAAGCCACATTCCAAATATCTCTCCATTTCTCTGTAAGGCCTTCTTAGCAATTCCCCAAACACATTTCTTCATCCCTATTAATGTTTATCAATGGAAGAATTAGAAATAACATAGAGATGTGACTCACTTTGGATGTGAAGGTGACAAAGTGCTTCTCAGAGGCCACGGCTACACACACACTGTACCTGGCCGTTTTAAGAAGCTGCAATGTTTTCTGATTTAGATGGTAATTGGGCAATCTCAGGAAAGCACATTTTTAATGTGCAACAATGTGCGGCCATATCCACTCTTCAAGTATCTCCCTTCCCTTCCCCTCTCCTCCCCTTCCTTTTCTACCAACTTCAGTAACCAAACTCATTGCCAAACAGTCGCAAACAATTGAAATTCAATTGTTATCTATTTTCAACCTTATCACCATGGCAGTAGATTATTCTACAGCAGGCTGCTGGGCGAAGATATTTTCATAAGGGGAAAATTGGATAAATATCTGTATAATTTCATGGCCTATAAGTTTGTAAATCTGATGCTGTAAGCCGCCCAGAGTTACCTTGCAGTGAGATGGGTGGCAAACAAATTTAATAAATAAATAAAAATAAATCTGAACTGGAAATGCTATTTTACACAATCTAGTTGTTTTCAGAAATGTTGGAACTTTCAGAATTGCAAGCTAACATGATTGGAATGTTCTGGAATTTAGTTCCATCATTTCTGCTGGATGTTGAGTGGAGAATGCTGTTAATAAAGAATGTAATGAAGGAATTCTGGAATTATAGAACAAAGGAAAGAAAAATAAAGAACCCACCGTTGGGGTATGGAGTTTCACACAGGGTTAGAAAATCTACTATTGAGTAATCCATTTCTAGAACAGCAGTGCTCTTTCCATGCATAACAGTTAAACAGGGTCTTCTTCCGACAGTGTCATATGATAAGCCACCTGACAAGATGATAAAAGGCTCTCTGAAAATCAACACAAATAAATAGTTAAGCCAATGAAAGATAACATTAAAAAACATGGAACACTGTTGGATTTAGTGGAATAATATATTAAGAGCTCTATGTGCTATGCCTGCTTGTTATACAATATAGGCTTGCCATATGGACTGGACCGGACCTGTATTAAAACAAAAACAATAAAACTGAAAAAAATTGACAGTGCACTGATTTATGAACAATTAATGGATATTTTTTTTAAAGAAATCTCTTTCAAGCTATAATTTGAGCAGTTGAAGAATGTATGTATTTATGTATTCATTTAAAGTTTTGTACAGCTGCCTTAAACATATCTTATGTAATGTAATCCTGGATGACTCACAAGCAATAATAAAACAGTAAATAATAATAATAATAATAATAAAAAAACAAAACAAAAGGAAAACCTAGTGCCCAAACACAGTACATTCCACCAAACTCAAATAAACTAGGGATTCCTTGGGCTTCATGTCTTAGTCAAGGATTGAGCAGAGTCACTCTTTTATCAAAGAGGGACTCCATTTAAAATGTACTAAACTTATTAAAATGATTGGTTCTATCCATTATCCCATTAATATATTTCCATTCATGAAATGGAACTTGCTCTTTTTCTGTAACTCCCATGCATCAATAAATTTGGGAATATCATATTCGGGGATTTAATATAAAGTTCTTTGAAATCTTTCCAGAGATGTAACAATTTTGATGGTGATATATTTATAGATGTGGGTATATGTTTAAGTATATAAATTTGAAGAATTTTTTTTACTGCATAAAACTGAAGAACTCATGAATACATACAATTATTTCTGTATTTTGAATGCTTATTAAATATTTTTAAATATTTGACACATCTCAGTTTGCAAAATGTAGGCTGGATTCCGACAGAGAGAAAAAAAAAAGAGTCCATTTATAGGAAGGCTTCAGCTCAGGGAACATTTTAGATGTAGGAAGGGAGATCTAACTTTTATCTATTTGTTTTTCCTCTGAGGCCTCCAAGATTTGGAGAGACGGAAGATCATTTCACTCAATGTGGGAGAAGTTGCAGGAATATGCAGAAAAAAATAAGGAATCCACTGAAGTTGCTTTCTTGCTTTCTTTCTTCTGATGGAATATCCCATCAAAGGGGCTCTATCCAGGGCAAATCTGGATCATACACTCCAGCTTTAGACTCAGTAAATATCCAATCATCATTAAATAATTGTGCCCAATTCTTACCCAATTCTGGTTGTTTTGTATTCCACTTTAAGAATAGGTTTACAGGGTTCTGGCTTCTTTCCATCTTTAACCTGCTTCCCTAAAACAAAATATTACCTTATTTTTATTTAAAATTGAGTTGAAAGTTATCAAAATCTTAGAAATTACATTATGATGTTAACAATATTTCCATGTATTAAAAAAGCAGTATGTTCCATATGTTAGAAAATGGTTCAAGATTCATTACTCATACGGGTTAAGGCTCATGCAAAAGACCTATTGAGAACAATCATCCCTATTCTCAACTTCTCAGGGTAATTCCTTATTATTAGAGTGGATGGGAAATTGAAATTAGGTGGGAGGTGTGGTTAGATGTTCCTAAAACTTAGATGGAGCATCACTGCTACAGTGAATAAATTATGGCTGTAATGGAGCCTGCCCATTATGGTCGTTAATGTTAATTGAATCACTTTAAACCAATTAACCCCATCCCTCCTCTCCCTAATGCATTCGTTAACTGAATGCATGGGTTGTTAAGTGAGTATGAGACACCTCAGGGATGGGAAAGACCATGGAGGGGGGGGTCTAGTGTAGGAAAAGACCTGATTCTGGCCACCCAAGGCATCCCTGCACCCACTGAGTTATCTCATGCTCCCCTTCCCACCCCTAAGGGTCCCTATTGCTGCTTCCTCCACCTTCTCTGCACTTACTTTTCAAAGATCGGCAGAGCTCAGGGCTACATGGCAGAAAAGTGGCCATCTTCTCAGATGCAGATGAAGCTGTTTTCTTTAGATCTTGTGTTCTTCCGTCCCCCTTTGCAAAAGCTTTTGGCTTGGAGAACGGAGGCCTGCAGGGGCAAAGGGGATAGAAGCCTTTGAGGGTGTGATCTTGTGCCCCTGCAGGCCTCCGTTTGCCAAAAGCTTTTGCAAAGGGGGACGGAAGCCTTTGCGGGTACGATCTCACGCCCCTGCAGGCCTCCATTCTCCATGCCGAAAGCCTTTTGCAAATGGCACGGAAGTCTTTGGGGGTGCGATCTCACACTCCTGCAGGCCCGTCATCTGTGCAAAAAGCCTTTGCAAAGGGGACAGAAGGGTGTGCAAAAACACAGAATTTAATGAAAACAGCTTCACCAGCATTTGAGAAGATGGCCGCTTTTCTGCCATGTGGCCCTCAGCTCTGCAGATCTTCGAAAGGTGAGTGATCGGTGATGGGATGGGGAGGAGCCAGTGGGCTAGCATTCCAGAGCCAGTGCCTGTTAGGACCCCATGGAAGGGGATAGGCAAGGGGCATGTTGCAGCATCTCTGTGGTCAGTCATAAGGGTGAACAACTGCTGTGGTGCTGCAACATTTGTAACTCTGGGACTGGATTGTAAGTACTTTTCGGGGTGGTGTAACTTTGAACCATCGCTAAGTGAACAGTTGTAACTCGACGACTACCTGTACTTCCCATCTTTCAAAGAATTATTTGTGTTCAACTGGCTAAAGAGACTATGCACTGGAAAGAAGGATCAGGAAATCTGTTTAGTCCAGTATTGTTATAAGTGTTCAGAAGTGGAGTCATCCCTATGTATTTTATAAGGAATGAGCGTTTATACCTGGAAAATAACCTTCAGTAATTGACACTTATTCAATTGAATAGAATTTAATATAATATATACCTGGAAAATGGCAAAGAATAAATAATCCTTTTTCCTCACACTAACACTATACTTAAATAAAGGTATTATGTATTAGAACAAAACTAAAATCAGTATTAGTATTTAAATGCAATGAAATATTGTAATACTTTTATATGTAGTAATGAGCTACAACCTAATTCTGAATCATATTTGCTTTTAATTTTTAAAAAGTTAAATTAGGTTTAACAAAACATAATGCAAGACTAGCCATATGCAAATGGTGATTGTTGGTATTAATTTCTTATCTGATAATATGGCACTGAAAAATCTTTTTGTACATATAAGAATATACAAATATTCTGTAAATCTAGGCGCATTTATTCACTGTAGGCACAATCTGGGGGCAAATTCAATAGGATTTACTTCCAGATATACATAGAAGTGCAACCTATAATATAATGTACTAACATATTAAATACAAAACACATACACTGTAAACTTACCATGGGGAGTGATTGTCTGCAATGGCTTAGTAGGGTTCCTTAAATTCCATATAGTCAAGGTGCCATCTGAATGGCTACATATAAATTGCTTTCCTTCATGATGCCAAGCTACAGAATGAATTGCCTGAGCAAAACAATAATAATTTAAAATATTAATAAATGTAAAATTAATTAAATTCAGTTACTAAAACAGCATGGCAAAGTAGTCACAGGATTATGGTAGCATTTTTTTCTGATGAACATATTTTATTAAAAGGCACAACCTACTGTGGCTGCAGCTCATGCCATTAGATGGATCTGATGACGTAAATGCAGCTCACAAATGCTTACGTATTTGAACACAATCTTGTTAGTCAGAAAAGGTGCCGTCAGATTTTTCTCACTACAGACTAATATGGCTTTTCTATTATAATATCTAAAATTAAGCATGGAGGAAACTAACAATAAATTGAACATAATACGCATGCACATGTACATAATATGCGTAAATACCTCCAAGTAGTTAAATTTGGCATAAAACAATATTTTAATACAAAATTAATTCTCAAGGAAAAGTCCCTGCATTTAAAGGACACATGTATTATTTACGCAGCTATATCAGTTATATCATTTAATGTCATCTTAGTTAATCATTTAAACTGTTCTAATGCAAATACTGTGCACTGGTAGAAATTAGAAAAGTAAACCTATATTCATTTACAAATGGTTATTTATCACAGCCTGATAGATTGCAGCATATTCTGTGCCTTTTATATTGCATAAGCAATATAAATATTACCACCTCAGTTTTACACTTGCAGGTTGTCAGAAAATTACGATGGCCTGGTAGAATTTTATTTTTGCAGTAATATATTTGCCCTGACCCATCCCACTTAGCTTCTGAAAGATATTTTTAGTTAGTTGTTAAGACCATTATATGCACACTTACTTCCATTTTGAAAACCAACTTTTAAAATCTTTCTTATATCATGAATATAAGAATTTGCTGTATCAATTATAACTGCATTATGTGATTATCTATGAAGCACTTAGTTCATAAAACTCATAAAAAGCTTAATTAGAAAAAGTCATAGCATGTTAAACACACACACACAGTTCATCAACCTTTATGAATAATTGGAAAATAGGCTGATTTTATATAGCAAAAAGCAACCTGATACATACTACAGTGAGAATCATTGTAGAAAAAAACCTGCAGCTGAATAATATTTGAATGTTATTTTAATAAAGTTTGGAACAAATCTACTTTCTAAACATATTAAAATGATTGCATTAAACCATAATAAATAAAATATGTAGCGTATTTACTACTAGTCTTAAACTGAAGATTTGAAGCATTACCAATGTTTAATAGGACAAAATGGTAACAATTTTATTAGCAGCTAGAAGCAACAGAATTCTTAAAAGACTGTATGTGGAACAAGATGCAGTTAGAAGAACTAAAAAACTAATATTGTTAAAAATAAGGAAAGAAGCATCACAAAGTTTTCAGTCTTCTTCAAAAATCTGTACTATGACTTTAAAATATATACATGCAGTTTTTTTAAAAAAAAACACATTTTTTCTAAAGCCACAGATTCTTTACACAGTACATTTTTAGAATATTTTTAATATGGACCTAATTTAGCTGAGATAGACTTTAATAGATCCAATATTCCTAATAGATTACATTTGACCACAGGACATTGATATTTATAAGCAGTCTGTCTTCTCAGGAAATCCTATCCCTAAAGTGGTCTCTTCACTTAAGAATTCTCAATAAGAAATCCCAGATTTTGTAACCTACTAATACCCTCTTTGCGTTCTATGGTTTTACGTATCAGGACATAATAAAAATCATCTGTTCCTTAGCAGTTCTTAAAAGTAGGTAAATACATCAGATGAATAACAACACATATTATACCATGTCACCATTTGTTTTACAAAAAGAAAGGCAAAATGGAGATGCCATGCGTGAAAAACTAAGTACACCCTTACTACTTCCATAGGTCTGAAGAGACTAAGTTGTAGCCAGGTGCTGCTATCAACTGCCCTTGATTAGCTGATTATCAGCAAGTGTGACTACCTCTATAAATGCCTATGTTTTAGGAGTTTGCTGGCCTCCAGCATTGAGATTTAATAATAATTTAATAATTTAACACAATGCCAAAGAGGAAAGACATCAGCAATGGTCTTAGAGAAGCAATTGTTACTGCCCATTAATCTGGGAAGGGTTATAAGGTCATTTCCAAACAATTTAAAATCTATCCTTCTGCAGTGAGGAAGATTTTTCACAAGTGGAAAATATTCAAGACACTTGCCAATTTTCCTAGGAGTGGACATCCCAATAAATTAACCCCAAGGTCAGACCATGCAATGCTGAAATTGCAAAAAATCCAAGATGTACATCTCAGAATCTACAGGCCTTAATTAGCATATTAAATGCTAATGTTTATGACTGTGATGACTCCTCCAGACCTTCCCCAGATGCCTCTCCAGATGTTGTTCAGAGGCGGATGAACCAGTCCCAGGCCCTTCAGGAGGAGAGTTGGTCAATGGCTCTGAGCAGCTGGCTGAGAGTGATTTGGCTGAAGCACAGTTGCAGGACAGCCCTGAGGCTTCAGGTGGGGAAAGCACACAGCTGCAATTGGTTAGTGATGATGATGATAATGAGCTGCCTTTTGCACTTGATGAGAACATGTAGGGCAGAGAAAAAGAAAGGAACAGCGAAGTGGGCCAAAATTCCTCCATAACAATGTGAGAAACTGATAAAATCATACCATCATACCAAAAATGATTACTTCAAGTTATTGCTGCTAATGGTGGTTCTACAAACTACTGAATCATTAAGGTGTACTTAATTTTTCATACATGGCTTCTCCATTTTGGCTTTCTTTTTGTAAAATAATGATGACATGGTAAAATAATGATGACAAGTGTTATTGTTCATCCGAGCTTATATTTACCTACTTTTAAGAACTGCTAGGATCAGATAATACGTATAAAACCATGGAACTCAAAAGAGACGGTGTACTTTCTTTTTCACATGACTGTATATACATTCTGTTATATAAATCACTAAGTTGCAAGGAGAAAAAAGATCAATTCCACATCTTGGAACAAAATATGTTGTGTTAAAGGAGCCCAATTCATTTAGCTTTACCCAATTTTATTTGTGTATTGATAAAATATTTGCTACTCACATACTGTAGTATTACTATGACTTTTTCTATGTGCTAAATAATGTCAATTAAAGGTGATAAGACCCTGGTACCAAGTTGCTTAGGAATGTTTTTAGTAAGAGAGTGTTAATAAGACAAAGGTCTTAGCCTACTTTGTAATCTTTAGTTCAACAGTGTTACTATGACTACTGAAGATATATGCATGATGTTATTCTTAATGATTAGTTTATAAGGTTGTGTGTTTCTATATTTGGCTCATGGCAATGTATGCTCTTCAAAATTGTATAAAAGAGTCTACTCCAACCTGGGGTGTGCCCATTTAGAGCTTGCTTCCAGGTAAGTTTTTATTTGCAAATAAAACATTCCCCCACCACCACCACCATTCTAATGTGGTTCATTGGGCCTGCACACCAGGTAAAAGGACCTGAGAATTCTGGGACAACATTTGTTTACTCAAAATACCTATATTGTATAATGCCTATATCTGCATATTATAAATACCACCATTATCCAATTAGGAAAGACAATCTTATATTAAATTTTTGCTTGTTTCTTTTACTCTTTCACATCTCATTTAAGATAGCACCTGTGCCTGTGGATCATACTTTTCTATGTTACTTATACATTATTTCATTTTCATTGACATTTATGTAATTAATAGAGTCAAACTAAAATTATCTAACATACCTTCGTTCTATTACTTTTGGTTCTCAAAACATCAAAAAGTTTTAATACTAGTCTCTGCATGCTGAGCATTCATTGCATGACAAGATAAAAAGATAAAAGTATAACACTAATCAGGGGAAAAAAGAGAAATAAAACAAACTTACCAGCACCCAACAATAGTAAAAACAATCTCTTTTGCTTTTGCATTATTGGGGATGCCTTTCACAAAAGAGCAAAGAGAAACAACCTTTTGAACGAAATATTTTATTTTCTTCTGCAATCTTTTTTTTTTTTTTTTTAAACCGGAGTTTCTACAAAATTTCTGTCATTTGACATGCAAGTTTATTTTGTGCTACAGATTACTACAACTACCCATGCCTCATTGTTGCAAGTTAAGAGTTTTACACAGTCACAACACAATGCCTCCTTCATTCCTGTTCTAAGTATAAAAGCATAATTCTCATTTTTCAACTTGCAAGAAAATATAGCATCTGCTCTGTTAAATCTCTGAGGAACAATGGGATAATTTATATGTAAACCAAAACAGCAGTTGATATATGGAAAGCCCCCCAATCCATTTGTACTTGTAACAGACCCTCACCAATTGCTGTTTACTACATAGTTGCAAACTGTTGCTGATACTTAACTCCTTTTTTCTGCAATGATTTTCTTCTGCTTTTTAGCTACAACAATGTCTACCATGTCATTTAATTAAAAAGCTTACATTAGGGTATGCTACTCTCCTTTCTTACCACCTGCAGAGTACCTGTAGTACAGACTTCAGTAGATAGTGCAAGGCACAAGAGCCAACTGAGGTAGAAGAAAACAATTCACCCAATATATACTATCCATAATCTGGCAGTTTTGAAAAGGGAAAGAACTGAGAACTGATACAAAATGCATAGCATTTCATTTGTCCAAAATTCTTTGCAATGAGAAATTATTTACTTTAGAGATGTGACTAGTTTGAGAAAGATGCAGTTTTGCTACAGCATAATGAAGCAGATTCTACTCTGTTTCTCCAAACTTCATTTATGAAGGGAAAGGATTACATATGCAGAATGAAAACAAGAATATGCAAAAACAATTTATTGAGTCCTTCAACAAATAAACAGTAATTTGAAAATAAATATTAAAAGGCAATCTCAAAGAATGCAATGATCTAATATAGTCAATAGAATCCTGGAGAACAAATCTCTTCAGAGAACTAGAACAGGGCAGCAATACACTGTATAAATGTGGAAAGCAATTGCTTATAAAATCCATAATTCCTTTTTTTGAATTGTAGATGCTGTTG